GGTGGGATGTGGCTGGAGGAGGGGGGTCATGGGGCATGCCCTGGAAGGCTGTGTCCTCTCTGTGTCCCCTTCTCTTTCATTGTCTCTGTGCTTTCTGACCCAGCCAAGAGCTGAGCAGCCTTCCTCCATGGGCCCTTCCCCTATGGTGGGCTGCCTCACCCAGGATCAGCCTGCCTTGAGGTTCAAGCAGAGAAACCCCTGGGACTTGCAGGGCACATCAGGGCAGTGACACTCCTGGGCATCCCTGACTTATCAGACCACATCCCGGGTCTGGAGAGAGTCAACCCAAGTCTCTGCAAAGCACAGTCCATTCTGGAAAAAGAGGGAGGTGAGGCAAAAACAGCCTCCCAGGAAGGTTTTAGCTCAGCCTGGGACACAGGAAGAGCAGGCGAGTGGTCCCCTCTCCGACCATCTGGTCTACCCTGGTGGCGCAGAAAGAGATCCTTCCCAGGCGGTTGAAAGAGGGCTCCTCTGTACCCTGGGGAGAGAACCTCCCTGCTCCTGCATGTGTTAGGAGAAAGCTGGCTCTGCTAGCCATGGATGCCCTGGGTCCCAGCCTGGGACTGGAGAAAGCTGTGTGCTTGCCTGAGTCTGTCCCCACCACAGGCCTTGGTATGTCCTCGCCTGGTGAAGCTCCACCCAGCAGGCTGCTTCCCTCCTTCCTGGGTGCTCACTGGTGCAAAGGGGCTGGTGGGCTGCCTCACCATGGGTCCAGAGCAATGGGGTCAGATCAAATGGAGTGATGCTGAGGTCTCCACCCTTCCTAACACAAGGCACGTGTGAAATGTCATGCTAATAGAAAGGCCAGAGGCCGGGAGTTCCCCAGGGCGGTGTGACAGTTGTTGACCAGCCTTGCTGGGGGGGCCCGAGGGCTGGGAGGTCCCTTCCCTTCCTTCCTCTGCACAGCAGGTTGGGTGCCTGGGGTGGGGAGCTAGGGGTTGACAGAGGAGCGCATGGCTTGGCACAGGCCTGGCATCCACAGTGGGTTCATAAGTGGATGGGCTCTTGCTGCAATTAGGACAGTTTGGACGCCTGGAGATGCCACCCTGAAGGGACCTGTCGGTGGCCTGTTTCTCAGTCCTCACCGGGCACTGTGGATCTTCTTTGCCCACAGACTCCATTTCATCTTACATAAACAGGTGCCGGTGCCTTACACAACCAGGGGGCTATGGCTGCATCTCAGGTCAGGGGCTCCTGTGGCCACCCTCTGAGAATGGTGGCCTATCCCAGAATTAAGGCTGGGGACTCCTGCCTCCTACCCAGTGTCACCTGGCAGAGGCCAAGTCCCTGAGGGACCTGAAGACGAGGATGCTGGCAGCAGATCTTGAGATTTTCATGAGGCCAGCACCAGAAGAGGTGCCATGGGCCCGGAACTCTGCCCTTAGTCAATCTCCTGGCTCCTGGCTGCCTCACTGTTTATACCTGCATTTACCTGTCACCAGACTCTATCCGAGTCGCTGCTCTGGACCCACCCTGGCTCCCAGCACCGTGTGTCTCCTCTGGATTTGCCCCTTCCTCTGCTCTCCTGAGGCCCAGTGATTCCTGACCTCAGCAAACCCCAGCTCCTGAGCCTCCTCTACCTTGATGCTGGCTGACCCGGCTCCCCCGCATCCCCTCCCTAGCTCTGCCTCCCGCCCTCAGCTCCCTCCAGGAGGCACAAAGCTAATCAGGCTGATTATCGCCCAAGTTCAATTCCACTTTCCCTGGCTCCAACACGCAGTAAATTTCCTTAGCTGCTTGGCTCCCCGGTGAGCTCTGCCTCTTGTCAGGCAGCCCAGCCTAGGAAGCCGCCAGCACCCCCACCTGCTGTATCATCACGGTGAATCAGGCCCGCCCGACGTGGGGGTGTCATTTAAACGCCATCTACGGAGTCACATCGCACGATCGATCAGGTCCTCCGAGGTCTTAATGCCAAGACCTTCCTGTTCTCTAAAACACCACAATATAATCTGACGCAGGAGGTCTGGATCAGACAAGATGCTTTTGGAAAATGATTTTTCCTCCTCCACACATTTTGAGGGTAGGCAAGTGGCATTGGGGTCACTGATTTGTCAGGAGGTGGTCCTTGAACTTCCAGCCCCATTTCCTACTTGTCCCACTCCCCAAGGTCTGTGGGTGACTGAGGGTGACCTGAATCAACCTGAGAAGGAGAGGAAAGATCAGGATGCTGTTTATTCTCAAACCAGGGCCCCCTGGGAGGGAGAGAAAAAGCTACGCAGGCTTTTCCTTTAGCCTTGATCCCTTCCAGACAGGGGGAGGCTTGGCTGTGGGAGGGAAGCCGAAAATCTGGCAGAGATGAGTTTTGACTCAATTAACTTTAATGAGCATTAATAGCCTCTTCTATGCACAAGGCACTGTTAGGCTCTGTGGAGTCCAGAGGGGAACAAAACCCCGTCCTCACCCTCGAACAGGGTGGAGAGTGGGATGCGCCAAGTGTACATAGCAATGTCATGGAGACCCAGACGAGAGAGGTTAATTGAGAAGGATCCTATCCAAGAGGGCTTCTTGGAGGAAGCAGAATGGGAGTTGCAGTTTCTAGAGAGGAAGCTGTGGGCGGAGAATCTGCTGAAGGGAGAGGGTGGCATTCCAGTAGTCTGTGTGACCGGGATGTGGGGTGGAGGGAAAGATGGAGTCCTAATTCCAGGGACCTTGAAAACCATGCTGAGGAATGTGGAATTTGCTTTAATAAGAGAGTGAAGCTTCTGTGCTTTGGGCAGGTGAGTGGCCTCATTGGAAGGAACCATGGGCTGCTGTCGGAGAGACAAACATGCAATAGGTCAGACTATGGGGATGGGGGGGGGCAGCTGTGAGGCTGTTGGATGCTACCAGCTGGGTCTGAGCTAATGCACCAAAGGGCAGGCAGGCTGTGCACATAGCCAGGGGCGCCGGTGAGCCCCCACTTCCCCCCTCCAGGCCCCCACCAGAACCTCCTCCATGTGCCTTGGTGTGTCTGCCCCCAGATGTTTTGCACATCTCCGTGTGCATTTGCATTTCCATATTTCTGCAAAGCCACAAGGTCTTCCTGTCATCTTGCCCCAACCCAATCCATCACTTTTCTGTGGTTGCAGGAGGAAGCTCAAGAAGAGAGGAGGGATGCTGGAGAGAGAATAGTGAAGGAGGAAGCAGATGTTCCCTTTCTTCTTTTCTTCTCCATCGCTCTCTTCCGTTCTTCTCTCCCTCCATGTTGACTCTCTCTCGTTCACTCCTTCCTTCCTTCTTTCTCTACCTGTTTCTCTCTCCCTCTTTCTCTTTTTAGAACTATTTACATACCAGGCACCTTACAGGTATTCGTCCAGTTAATCTCATGTCCCACGAACATGTGACTGAGGGTCAAGGTCATGGACTTGACTGCTGGCCTTGTTGATTTGTAATCGCAGCTTCCCACCCACTGACGGCATGATCCCAGGCAAGTTACTGGGTATCTCTTTGCCTCCGTTGCCCTCCATTTGCACACGGAGGATGGTGAACAGTGCTTGGCACTTGGAAACTGGTCCCTGACTTTTTGCAGATGAGACAACAGGGGTCCAGAGGGAAGAAGTTACTTTCTCACACTCACCCAGGTAGTGAATGGCTTGCCAAGAATCGGACCTGGGCAGCCTCTGAGTTTGGCTCGTCTCTCCTGCTTCTCCACTGAGTAGATGGTAGGAGAGAGCAGGAAGGTGTGAAGGTGGATAATGTCCTTCCAGATGGGAGCTGGGGTCTGCAGCCCTAATAAATATCCCCTCCCATGACCACGGATGCCCAGACCTGTAGAGGCAGGATGCAGGTCTTAAAGTGAAGAATTCTGCCTCCATATATGTTTGAGGAGCTGAAGATTTGGATAGCAAATATGGAAACGAATCAAGGGTAGGTTAAAAATTTCTCATGGCTGAAGCCCCCGAGGAAATGACTGAAAACCTGAATGGTGCCTGCAGATTCTGGAGGCATCCACGAGGGGGCAGCAGAGTCTAGGCTCTGTCTTAGATGGGGCTGTGCGGTGGCCGGAGGGAGAGGTGTCCAGTACAAAATGTATCCTGAGCTGCATACCGGGAATCTTCACAAAAGCCTCTCCAAAATGTTAAGTGACAGTGAAGAAGCAGACTTTAGAAATGACCTACTCCTTATTCAGTGGATTACCAGACTGAGTCCAAATATTCACATGATCCTGCTTTTGGTCCCCCAGTTTAACCCAGGGGCTGGATGAGAAAACTGGAAATAGAACCCAGGACTCCCTGTCTCTAGAGCTATGGAAAGAAATGTGACCATTCCAGGAGAACTGGTTCTCCCCAGGGGAAGTGAGTCCCTGTCTCTTGTGAGGTGGGTGGGTGTGGTCTTGCTCATGGCATTCTCTGGGACCAGAGGTGACGCTGGAGAAGACTTGGGATGGTATCTTTACGGAGTGCAGAGCTACCCCCTCACCACCTCTAGACCCCCCATCTCATCAAACCTACATTATGGAAGGAGGAAGAAAAAGGGCCTGGTGGGTGACACTGTAGACTGCTGGCAACCGGAGAAAGGTCTGGGAACCATGAAAATTCTAACAAAATTGCTTTTGTTGTTTTGAGTTATTATAAATATATGTTATTAATATTTATTCACGAAAAATCACAACCCATAAAAATAAGAACTTTATTCATAATCTTAGAAACCCAAAGATATATACTATGTATTTATCCTGTAAATATTTACATTATTTAAAAATAGACGCCTTTTACGAAGATGGGATGCAAGGGTCCTTAGACGAGCGTTTTGTAGGTTCCAAAGCGCAGTCCCGGGGTGGAAGCGGTCCCAGTTGCAAGCCTGTAGGCCGGGCGCTGTCCTTGGTGCTGAACGTGGGCAGGCGCGCTCAGAAGAACCTCCCAGGAAATGGGCAAGAAGGCCTCGCCTGGCATCACCACAAGCCCTCTGGAGGCTCCCCGGTGCTTCTACACGACTTCATAAGCAGAAGCTGAGTTTGTTGTTTCTCTCTCCTCTTCCTCTTTGGTATGTGCAGTGGCTGTTTCCCAACAACTCCTGGGGCGCGCTCTCCATGGGGAAATGTTCCACCAAGCTTAGCCCAACTGGGGTCCCCTCACTCCCAGATCCCACGGCGCCACACAAAACTGCTTTGCTTTACAAGGCTGTCATTACCACCTGGGGCCTCTGAATTTGGACCTGAAGAGAGAAACAGAATTCAATGAGGGCTGGGCCCATGAGTTATTTGGGTTTTGAAAGCATTAGAGGCTCGGGCCTAGGAAAATCTCAGCTTTGAACTTGTCCTATTACCTGGAATCCAGCACAAACACATGGTATCGTCCCTCCCTCATCAGAAGCCTGGCCAGTGATTTTATTTTTTTGCCCCAAGATTTGCTTTCTCTCTCTCTCTCTCTGGGAAGTACAGTATCTGAGGCCAATCACACTTGGTGATTCTTCTGTCCTCAAATATCTACCCAGATGAAATAATATTAACGAGGTCATTAAGAAGTGGTCACCTTCTCCCAGGGAACCAGTCATGGCCTCAGTCTCCATGGGACAACCTGATGTTGTGTTTCTCCTGGGTGATGCAATAACATTATCTAAGACATAACAAAGATGTTTAAGCTGAATTTAATTAAGCCTCTAGACCTAACCTCCAGTTTGTAGGAATTACTGAGGATTAAAGGACAAGTTAAATGAGACCACCAGGAAATAATCAAACAAATACAGAGTATGGGCCCCTCCTGCAGACAACCATCCTAGACTTCCAAAACGACACAATATATGTTTAAAAGCCAGTTATAGATACAAAGGCCAAAGAAACAACAAAATTCACCAAGTGAAATTTATATCCACATATGGAAAAAAAAAGTTATAGGGCTGGGGATGTGGCTCAAGCGGTAGTGCGCTCGCCTGGCATGCATGGGGCGCTGGGTTTCTATCCTCAGCACCACATAAAAATAAAATAAAAATGTTGTGTCCACCTAAAACTAAAAAACAAATATTTAAAAATTTCTCTCTCTCTCTCTTAAAAAAAGTTATAAAAGATGCCCTTAGATCAGTTGGAAAAATTGGTTATTGGATGATATTGTGGAATTATTATCAACTTATTAGGTATAATAATAGTATTTGGGAATATGTGTGGAGGTGTTTTGAGAGAGAGTGTCATAATGTTTGCAATTGACTTTCAAATGGCTCAGAAAAAAAATAATTAATTAATTTCCCTCCTTTTAAAAATACTGGGGATTGGGGCTGGGGATGTGGCTCAAGCAGTAACGCTCTCGCCTGGCATGCGTGCAGCCCGGGTTCGATCCTCAGCGCCACATACAAACAAAGATGTTGTGTCTGCCGAAAACTAAAAAAATAAATATTAAAAAATTCTCTCTCTCTCTCTCTCTCTCTCTCACTCTCACTCTTAAAAAAAAATACTGGGGATTGAATTGAGGTGTGCCTTGCCAACAAGCTACATTCCCCTGCCCTTTTTATTTTAAAACATTTTCTCCCTAAGTTTTTTTTTTTTTTAAGAGAGAGAGAGGAGGGAGAGAGAGAGACAGAGAGAGAGAATTTTAATATTTATTTTTTAGTTCTTGGCGGCAGACCAACATCTTTGTTTGTATGTGGTGCTGAGGATCGAACCTGGGCTGCACTCATGCCAGGCGAGCGCGCTACCTCTTGAGCCACATCTCCAGCCCTCTCCCTAAGTTTTTGAGAGAATCATTAAGTTTCTGAGGCTGGCCTTGAACTTGCAAACCTCCTGCCTCAGCCTCCTGAGTCTCTAGGATTGAATGATTGAATTGATAGGTAGATATGAAAAAAGAAAACATGACAACATGTTAAACATCACTATCTGGGTGAGGCATGTAAGTATTTACTATTGTTCTGATGTTGATGGTTGCTTAAAAATTAAAATAACTAAATAAATTGGCCATGATGGACATACTTACAGTGGAGAGGGAAATCACAGAGGAGGAAGAGGGAAGGTAGATTCCACCTTCTCCACCTTCCCTACCAACTGCCCTCCCAAGTTATGCTCATTTCCTGGCCGTGTAGTCCAGGGACCATTGCCTGGACCAACAAACCATACACATGGCTTTACTTGCTGAAGGTCCTATTGTGTCCTGGGGAAGATGGCACCTCGGAGTGGAGGGAGGTGAGAGTCTCACCCAGGCTGTTCTTACCTTTTTTGTAGGGTCTATGTGATTCAGAGAGGGCTGGAAGTTACTGTAGATGGCGTCCAGGTGGATGTAATCTTCTCTTTCTAGAGGAGGAGAAAGCCCCCCAGAGACAGGTGGTTAGGAAGATAAGGTCTCATTTCTGCTCACCCGAAAGAGGGCGAGCGGGTTCATTCTACACCCTTGAAACTGAAAACATGGCAGACTACCTAAACTGCTTCACCCCCAAAGCTTCCAGTTATAAGTCTTTTGAGGCTGTACATTTCTTTCTGAGTATAGTCATAACTGCCCTACAAGTTCTCATGCCAAGTATTTTCATAATCTCTTACATCCAAGTATTTTATAACTTCCATATGATTTCCTGCTTAACTCATGAGTTTTTTAGAAACTTAAATAGTTTCCAAAGATACAGAAGTTTTTGTTTTCATTTCCAGAAATTTTTGGTATTGACTTCTAAATTACTTGCATTATGGTCATATAATGTAGTCTGACTTTTATATTTGTTTTGAAAATTTGTTGAGGACTTTTTTTTGTGGCCTTGTGCATGTCCATCAAATGAGTCTTCTATATTCTCGTTATAATTATGTTCCCTTCAGTTGTTGAACACGATGTTCTGTATTATACCAAGGCTTCCAGTTACTGGGTACAAGCATTCTATATTCCTGATGACTTTTTGTCTGCTGGATGAATCAGTTACAACAGGTATTTTTAAAATCTCCCACCATGTTGGTGGACTTGTCCATTTTTCCCCACAGTCTTGTCAATCCTCGCTTTTCGTATTTTGAAACTGTACCTATTGGACACTAGTGGGACTGTGTCTAACATAGTAAGCCATTTTCCAATATAGATCCTTTCTCTCTCTCTAACTTAAAATTTATATTCCCACAACAAATGTAGAGAACAACAAATATTTTGTCTAGCAATCCTGTTTTCCTTTTTCCATGTTCTTTTTATATTTCTCTGTCCATCTGTTTTCATATTCCTCTCATCCATGATAAACAGCTAGATTTTTTTAAAAATTCACTCTTTTAACTGGAGTGTTTAATCCACTTGCATTTTTTTATGACTATGGATGGTTTGGATACTTTCTGCCACCTTATTTTGTGCTATTTGTCTTCTCATTTTTCTTTTCCTCCCCTTTCCTGCCTTGTTGTGAATGAACTGGACTTTTTCCTCATTCCAACCTTCCCCTTCTTAGAAGTTAAAGACTCTTCTGAGAAATTTCCTCGATGCATGATTTTTCATCTTTGCAATTTAAAAACTTTATTTCTAGAACTTTTAACATGTGCATTTGACCTAACAAAATCGAATGTTAATCTCTTTGGTGAGATGCAACTTACTTGCTAATGAGCTTACCCACTTCTGGGCATAAATCTATGTCCACATAGGCCGTTTTGTGTTCTAGAGAAATCTAGCACTGTCAGGTAGCCTGTGCCTCCCCAATGGTCTAGCCAAGCAGTGACCAGGCTTATGCCCTGCCCAGGTCTTGCAGGAACAAGCCGTGGAAATTGGGTTTCCAATGTGGCACCAAATATTTGGGAAATGGCAAATGCTCCCCTCTTGCCCCCTACTTTTTTTTGTACTAGGGATTGAACCAAGGGGTGTTCTACCATTGAGCTACACCCCAGCCCTTTTTATTTTTTATTTTGACACAAGACTTCACTAAGTTGCCCAGGTTGACCTCGAACTTGTGATCCTCCTGCCTCCACCCCCCACTTCACTGAGATTACAGGCATGCCCCACTGTACCCAAGCCCCTTTCCCTCCTTCAAGCACCAGTGTTCCCCCTGGTCCCTCTCTGTGTGTCCCCACGCGTTCTGAGTCCAGTGGAGTTTGCCCATACCTTCGCAGATGTCAAAGCCAATGTTTCGGAGGGTCCCAGGGACAGATCCACCATTGTCTTCTTGCCACTGGTACAATTGAGACACTGTGGCCTTTTGCCTGTTGATAGAGATGTACAGAGACCCCATGATGATCAGGGAGCAGGGACGAGGACCCAAGGACAAGCTAGGTCCCTGCTTTCAGCTTCTCACTCTTCACCTCGGGGTTGGAGAGACTGAAGACAGAGGATCTGAGCAGAGGGAGGAGGAGGGGGACCTGGAGGAAAGAGGGGAGGGGCAGCCGTGGCTCACCTCTTCACCTCTCTCCTGGAGCGGAGCGTGAACACCAGGAGGACCACGATGACCAGCAGCACCACGGCACCGCCTGCGCCCGCGAGTCCGTACACCAGGCTCTTCTGGATGCCCCACTCACAGGTCTCTCCGCTGTACCAGTGAGTCTCTGTGATCAGGCAGCTGAGATGGGGGAGAGGGGCAGCGGGGGTGAGAGTGGGGTCAGCACCAATCTCAGAGCTGGGCCCTGACCCCTGAGTGTCTGAAGCGGGGAAGGGGGAAGGAGAGTGTGGGGCAAGGAGGATGGACGGAGACCAAGCCCAGTGTCCCTGGGCTGGCACTTCAGTGGGTCCAACACCCAGTGCCAGGCCCCTAGGTTTGCCCATAGTAGCAACCCAGGACTTGGGACAGCTGACCCAGCCCTGGACTTCCCTGGGCTGCGCCCCAACGTGACCCTTCCACCCACCCATTAATGGTCCTCATTTTCAGTTCTCCTTTCTATCCGGAAAATCTGTCCCCCGCCCTGATCTGGGGCCCCTGTTCCCCCTCTGAGGCCCGGCTCTTTTCCTCTCTGACCAGCGTGGAAGGTCCTCCCCCAGGAAGCTGTCCCAGAAGGACCTCGCAGGCCTCCTCCTGAGGGGGCTGAGGCAAGTGAGAGGAGTGCGGCTCCCTGCTGCACCCCCAGTGCTCTCGCCGGCTGCCACTGTCTCTAATTCGGTTTAGGTTGGCAACGTCTTTCTTGGCTTTTGTCCCTCTAGGACTGGGCTTCGTGGCCTCCCTCCTGCCCGTGGAGATGTGTGGCCTTCTTTCCCTATTTTGCTCACAGGAGATGGCGGTCCTTTCCCTGGAAGCAAGCCCCTGCTTCCATGTCAGGCTGCAAATGTCCTGAAGCTGGGACCCTCCTTCTGCTCCCGGGGAGCTCACCCCGCCCTCAGTGTCACCCAGCACAGAGAGGACACCAGGAAGAGCAGCTACTGAGCCTATCTGGACCTGGCCAGGGGGCTTGGCCATGCATGTTCTGCCAAGTCCTTTGTGACCTGATGCATTCAGGAGATGCTGGGATCCAGTCCCATGACCTTGACCTTCAGACAGCATCTTGGGTAGACCCCAGGGGCTGGGCGGGGGCGGGGGGTAGGTGGGGTACTCACTAGCACTGGGGGCCACTGCGCTGCAGCTGGCACTTGCCGTAGTGGCAGTCCCACGAGGCTTTGAAGCCGGCCATGCAGGGCGTGATGCAGTAGGGCTTCTGGTCCTTGTACTCCACCGTGAAGTAGGGGGCAAATTCCTCCCCAGCCTTCTTCCGGCATTCCTCTGAGGGGACACGAGAGCAGCTGTGATCAGGCGCCAGGAGCCCTGGCTTCCCACTGCCCCCTCACCTCTCCAGCTCTTCCTGAAACCACCGTGTCACCTACCTTCAGGATCGTACTGGGTGACTGTAATGTTCTGCACCTTGGTGGCAGTTGAGTTGAAGCACAGCAGGGCTGTGAAGGAGACACAAGGAGCCTTTATAACCAGCCGGTCCAGGGTCCCCACGGGGCTGAGGCGTGTGAGGGGGGTGGGGATGTGACAGGGACACAGGAAGCGGCTCTGTGCAGAGGCAGGGCCAGCCTCTCTTCCAGCTCCCAGAGGCCCTGCCGCTCCCTGGGTCCCTTTTCTCTCACGATCCCCACACCTCTCTCGATCCCCGCACCTCTCTTGTGTTCAGAAGATTCACTGCATAATAAATCACATTGGTCCTCACTTCCCAGCAGCCCCAGCTGTCCTGGACCCTTCCAGTGCCCTGTAGGACTCGGCCCGACTCCACTGGGCTCTGCGGCCTCCTTTTAGAGGCTCTCTTGGAATCTGCCAGTCTGAGTGAAGGGCCGAGGGGCTGATTCCTGGATCTCAGTGAGCTGCCATCTCCCTCCCTTCCCCCCACCTCCCAGGATGACAAACATGAAGGACTTCTCTGGCAGCCCCACCTGGATGCAGGAGCCCACCTGTGCAGGTATCATTGTTGCTTATCAGCTCTCTGGTTGCATTCTCGATTTTTTCCTTCACCTCCTCGGTGGCCTTCTTGAAGATTTCCTTGTATTCTGGGGTGAACTTGGTCTTCAGGATGATGTCATGCTCCACCACCACACTGCCCTGCCTGAGGAGGAAGAGACAATGACGTCCTGTCCTTGAGCATCCTCCCCTGGTGGCCTTGGTGCCCGCTCTTCCCACTGGCTCTGCTCCATCTGCTCTCTTGGGGAGGCAGAGCTGGGGGAGGGACCATTAAAATGGTGACCTGAGGCCTCCTAGGTAAGTGCTCTGTCCCAGGCACCACGGTAGGCCCTTTGCCACAGGTCTTTCTATAATGGCACCTAAGTGAAGCCTTCGACAATGGGAGGAGGGGCCTGGGCAGCCTCCAGGGAGCCTCAGCCATGTGGTTGGATGTTGGTGGAGAACATGGAAAAGCCATCCTTAAACTGTCACTAGATGTAACCCAGCAACACTGAGGTGACCTGAAGGAGGCTTGGTCTCAGGGTAGGTGGTCACTGCAGGGGCTCTCTCGAGGTCACATCTCCCTAGGGACAGGTGAAGGCCTACAGGAGGTCTCTGAGCCTCTTAAAATGACATGCAGAAATCCAAAGGCACAGACATGCATTTTTTTTTCTAATCACATATATTTTTGTCACCGCTAAAATGATCTCCAGCTCCCAGATGATTGAAATTCCAATCAAAAAGGGACAGGCACGGTGGTGGCACACGCCTGTATTCCCAGCAGCTCCGGAGGCTGAGGCAGGAGGGTTGTGAGTTCAAAGCCAGTGTCAGCAAATTAGTGAGGCTCTAAGCAACTCAGAGAGAATATGTCTCTAAGTAAAATATTGAAAAAGGCTGAGGATGTGTCTCAGTGGTTAAGCACCTCTGGGTTCAAACCCTGGTGCAAAAAAAAAAAAAAAAAAAAATCCCAAGATTAGGGTTTAATTTATTTAGGGTTTAGAAGTCAAGGTCAGTGCCCCTAAGAGAACAATGCAGCCAGCCCCGGAGTTTATGAAGGCCATCTCCTGTGTTTACAAAAGGAACCAGGAAGTTTGATGATCAGCAACCTCACACTGCAGGCCCCAGAGAGCACCTCTCAGGGAGCACAGGGATTATGTATACCCTAAGAATGAGTCTTTTCTGGATTTAAAAACACAGTGAAAGTCTGGCCTCGTAAGCACCATCCAAGATTCCTAAATTCTAGAAGTCTAATGCCCTCTTCCTTTTTTCTTCTTGATACAATATTGAGAGGCTTAACTATCAACAGCAGATTTGGGGGAACTACTCATAGAAGAAAATTAGAGTATCACATTGACTAATACAGCATGTGGAAAAATCAAATTATACAATATTATCTATTAGAATGTGCACTATAGGATAATTACATGAATCATAATGTAGCCATCTCTTAAGAGCCATTGCAGTCTAGTTCCAGGACCCCTTACAAGTACCAAGATCCAAGGGTGCTCAAGTCCTTTGGTCCTTTGGTCCAGCCCTTACCTAGCATGCCCAGGGTGCAGACTTCAGTCCCCAGGGCCACACACAAAAAATAGCAATGCTGTTTAAGTTCCTTATGAAAACTGTCCATCATGGCTCTGCTAACCCACGAGAAGAGATTTTCCTCATGATCCATGAGGGACTCAGGGGACTCGTGCCAGCCCTGTTGGCCAGCACAGATCAAATGGTTTCATAAAATTGGGGCGGCTCTTAGGGGAAGATTCTACAGGACAGAATCCCAGGAGGGCGGGTAGGTGAATGCAGGACGGGGTGGACTTGGGAGCCTTTCCCCTGGGCGCCTCCCTCCCCGGGCTCAATTATTTGGCTTCATCTCTGAAGACGAACAGGGTATCTATCCCTGGCTCCCACTGCGGCTTTGGGTTTTCCAGATGGTCTCTTCCTGACATGACAGGATTGAATCTCGGCTCTGCCACTCTGTAACGGACCCCTGAGGTAAGTCGCTGCATCTCTCTGAGCCTCAGTTTTTCCATTTGTGCAATAGAAACAGCCCGGCTGGCCTCCCTCACTCCTGATGAGCATCCAGTGGGGAAAAGAGGCAGAATCATCGTTGAGAGGTGTTAGGGGCTGAATGGTGTTACAGTCAGCCCCCCAATTCATGGGTTGTAGCTCTAATCTCCGAGCCTCAGAACAAGATTCAGGTGAAGTTAAAATGGAGCTATTGGGATGGACCCTAATTCAATTATTGATTGTTGCCCTTATGAGAAGGGGAAATTTGAACAAAGAGTCAGCCAAGATATGCAAAAAGAGAAAAGGACCATGTGAGGACCCAGTAGGGAGGTGGCCATCTGCAAACCAAAGAGAAAGGTCTCAGGAGAAACCCACGCTGCCCACACCTTCATCTTGGACTTCCAGCCTCCAGGACTGCGAGCTCACTCTCTCTTGCTGAAGCCCCTAGTCCACGTGTTCCACCAGGGCAGCCCTAGCAGGCTAGGACAGACGGCCTGGTCACAGTGGCCTTTATAACTAGGACCGCTGCTTCCACTCCGAAGGCCCAGCCCCAGATACGCACCTCAACCCTGTGATGTTGACTCCTTCATACTCAGGGATTCCAGAATAAATTGTGTTCATCTGAAAGGTAAGAGGTCATTCTATCATCCCAGAGGTCCCATCTAGGGGTCTGCTGGGCCTTTCTGTGGAACATCAGGAGGGTCAGCATGGCCGCCCTGTCCCTCACCACCTCTCAGTCCTCCTCCCCAGTTCTCCCTGGAATGGAAAGATTCCTTCCCAGAGACCAAGGTTCCTCCACCCAGCAGCCTCCAGAGGAAGTTGGTTTCCTGTGTCCAGCCTCCCTAGCAAGTCCGAGGACATGAGGGAGCCGAGAACTCACAAGTCCATTGAGGAAACAGCCCTCAGCTGCTTTCCTAACCCCTCTGGACTCCTCCCCGGGGGAACTGAGGGGCCCTGGGGACTTGCTCTCCCAGGTTTACCTGTTCCGTGAATGTGTCATTGAACTTCTTGAATTCCTGAGAAGACCGGTCCTGTAGCTTATCACTGTATGGCTCACTAGTCACGGTCACGGTCAGTTCCATTTGAGCAGTGACCGTCTGTGGTGGTGGCTCTGGAGGGAAGTGACAGGAGCACCACTTACTGAGCAAGCATCACCTCTGGGCTCCCTACCAAGGAGCCCTGAACCCCCCAGAAGCTCACCCTGGGTGGAGGCAGCAACCTGGGTCTCTCCCGACCCTCTGTCCCCTGGGAAGAGAGGTAAGTATCCTCTAGTCCTCAGGGATAAGGGATGGAGCACAAGGGGCCTTGGGTCTTATATTCTCCTAGAAAATTCTACCCATATTGCCCTGTGCTCTGTTCCTCAGCTTATGATGGGGTTACATCTGGATAAACCCATCATAAATAAAAAATATCATAAACTGAAAGGCATTGCGTCCACGAACCTACAGAAAATCATAACAGAAACCCTGTAGAGTGCCCGTCGCTCCCCTGCACCCCCGGGTGACTGTGGGGCTGGCTGGGAGCTGCAGCTCTGCATCTCGATAGAATATACCTGACATCCCTCGCTTGGGAAAAGATGCACATTCACACTTTGCAGTACGATTCCCACTGAATGTGTATCACTTGGGCACCAAGAGAAAGCCCCCAAATCCTAAGTCGAACCATCCTGAGCCGGGGACCGTCTATGTTGCATTTTATGGTCAAATTCTGGGCCAAATTGGTATTTTGTTCCAAATTATACCTTCTTCTTTTATTCACTTAAAAATGTTTTTAACTCTCATCATTAGGTTAATATCAATCCCCAAAGTGGCCATGCTTCCTGCCACACGCCGCAATGGGACAGGAACAGGTGCCTAGTGGGACACCCTGGGCCTGGCGCTGGGGAGAGGAAGGGTGTGAGGTCTCACGTACCAATCTCGATGCTCTCCACCACATTCTCACACAGTGGCCCATAGTAGAGGCTGGGACACTGACACTTGAGCCCATCCCAGAGACCTCCATTCTGGCAGACATTGGTCAATAACTGACATCGATCTCCTGTGAAGCCCGGGGGACAATCACAGGCCACTCCTGTCCACTTCCCTCCATTCATGCAGGTCACTGAAAGGCAGAAGGTCATGGTCAACCACATGATTTGCACAGCATATGATAGTGGGGAGTGTGTTCTCAAAGATGCTGTCTGATGGGATACTCTTGTGAGACCTGGGGTGCGCAGGTGAATTAGGATCATGCCCACTTTACAGACAGGAGAAGGGAGGCAGGAAGAGGCCTGTCCAAGAGTCCAGGCAGAGGCAGCCTGGACCCCCCTTCTCAGAGTTCATCTTGCTTTACTTCAGCACATGAGGAAGGAGAAACCTGGTGTCGTGACAGGTGACACCATCAGGACCGAGGAAGAGAAAACAGGAGGCGGAATAAGGGAAACCAGGGAACCGGACCAATCGAGATTCCATGAAGGTTAAGAATGAATGTGGTCATTGTCCCTCAACCCCTGCGTCAGAAGGACTCATTACTGTTAACATCTCTTTAGGATGCTTCTCATATTTCCTGGCTCATGGAATTTGAGGGGGAAGTCTAGACATAGTTTAAAAAGACAGGAAGTGGAGGCAGGTGAGGTGGTGCACACCTGAAATCCCAGTGACTCAGGAGGCTGAGTCAGGAGGATCGCAAGTTTGATGCCAATCTCAGCAACTTAGTGAAGCTCTCAGTAACTTAGTGAGACCCTGTCTCAAAATAAAAATAAAAAATAAAAGGGGCTCGGATGTGACTCAGTGGTTTAAGCACCTCTGGGTTCAATCCCTGATTACCCCCAACCTGCCCCCCCCCCAAAAAAAAAAGACATGGTTCGGCTCTTGGTGAACCGTGCCAATCAACCTGCAAAATCTAAAGCACTTTTTGACTTTTCTGGAATATTGTTGTGCCCGTGTAGAGCAGATTTCAGGGTGTGCACATGAAGGACGTGTATACTCTGCAAAGACTGCTTTCTGTTCTAAACCCACCAGACTCAAGAGAGCAGGGACCACATCCTGCAGCCTCTAAGTCAAGGGTCCCGGCACACAAGAGAGTCATAAATCCTAAATCAGTTCGTTCTTCTCCCTTCTCCCTCTCTCATTACTGAAGATGCTCAGACCTGATTTAAGTGTTATATCTTTTCACAAACTCAAGCACAGGTTTGTGAAAAGATACAAAAACAAAACTTGGGGGTCCTCATCTGTTGCCTAACAGCCTAAAGGGAAGTACAGCCTCTGGGGAAGAGAAAGAGGACAGAAGTGGAAACCATTAGCCTTCAGAGTGGTGACCAGCACAAGTGGTGAGCCCCACGGGAGTGCAGGCAATTTTTGTGCAACACCTGCATGGTTTGAGGTGTGCCCCCCAAAGATGCATATGCTGAAATCTTAGTCCCCCGTTGAGTGGTAGGACCTTGAGGAAGTAAGTCCACACAGAAGCTAACTAGGTCCATCTGGGCCTCATCCTCATGAATGGATTAATGCTGATCTGGCAGAGTGAGGAGGGTCTTCCTCAAGAGGTTGTTATAAAAAAGCAAGGCTGGGGCTGGGGATATAACTCAGCTGATCAAGTGCTTTCCTTGCATGCACAAGGCCCTGGGTTCAATCACCAACACCACCAAAAATAAACAAATAAATAAAATAAAAGGCAAGACTGGCCTGTCCCCAAGCTCCTGCTTCCTAACTTGCACACACGACCCTTCTGCATGTGCCTGGTGCTTACCCTTCATATTGGGATGCAGCCAGGGAAGCGATGCCCATATGCCAGCTCCATGCTGTTCTAGTCACCAGAATGATGAACCAAATAAACACCCTTTGCTTATACTTTACCAATCATCAGGTAATATGTCACAGCAACACAAATGAACTGAGGCAATACGTATGGGACGTTCTACAGACACAAGACTCAGGTCTCCGACGTGAAGAAGCTTGGGGGCCCTTGTCAGAAAACCAAAGAGCTCAACAAGAGAAAGACAACTGCGCAGAACCCAGATAACTTAAGAAGAAACTATAAAGTCCTGAATCCCCTGGCCAAGAGAGGAAGAACATCCTTTTATTTTTATGAGTTAAACATGGATTGGGCAAATACTGCAGGAAACAGATCATAAATATATGAGAAGGCCCAGGAGAAATCTAGCTCAAGGAATGTACTCAAGTGTTATAATAACTGTATTTTATTTAATTAAGGACAAATATCCTTTGCTCATCTGGAAAAAATATATAAAGTCTTACATTATATAATATACATAGTAAATAAATGGGCCATGACATTCTAAGAGAAAATGTGTGGGCAGATATCACACCAAAAGCAGAATAAACAGAGACAAGTCCAAGATCCGCAGTCAGAAAAAGTTACAACATAAAGAGAGACAATACCTCAAGGTCATGAAGGTAGAGTTAAAAACGAATAAAAGACAGTATACCTTCTCTAGAGAAGAAAGACAAAAATGAGAGTTAATGTGGAGAGAGAAAAGGATGCCAAACATACACATAAAAACTAATGGCATCAAGCTCATGAAGATTAAATCTCATGCACATGCACAAACAACTGAGAGTTCAAATTTACTATGATGAAGGAGCATTAAAATATTGAGAAACAAAACAGAAAACAAATGGACATAATAAGGTAAAAAGTTAAAATGTTAAAAGGGAAAATATAAAAAGAGTAAATGAAATATGAAAGTATACGATGCAAAAAGATGAAGAGAAATCTTTAAAAAAAGAAAATTTACAAAATAAAAATGAGAAATTACTTACCACTTGTGCTAGGAACAATGGAGGTGGTAGTTGAAGTGGTTGTAGATGTAACCCTAGAAGTGGTAGAGGGAGAAGAGGATGTGGGCGATGGCATGGTGGTGACGATGCTGGGGCTCGAATTTGCACTAGCAATGGTAGTGGTTCCCAGAACAGGGTACGAAGAGGTGGAGGAAGAGGTGCCCTGAGTCCAGGCAGGAGAGGCCACGGTGGTGGTGCTGGCTGGGACACTGGTCGAGGCAGAGGTCCCCTGAGTCGTGGCAGGGGAGGTCACGGTGGTGGTGGCAGTGGTGGCCTCAGGAGTTGGGTATGCAGAAGTGGTGGCGGAGGCAGAGTTGGTGGCTGGGACAGTGGCAGAGGACGAGGTCCCCTGAGTCGTGCCAGGTGACGTCACGGTGGTAGTGGCAGTGGTGGCCACAGGACTGCTGGCGGAGGGAGAAGTCACACCTGTGGTACTGGCTGGGACGGTGGATGCGAAAGAGGGCCCTTGCATTGTGGCAGGTGAGGTCACAGTG